ACTCACTCACTCACTGTAATACTTCTTTTGTATGTACTCACTACCTTCTTTTGTATGTACTCACTCACTCACTCACTCACTGTAATACTACTTTTGTATGTACTCACTCACTCACTGTAATACTACTTTTGTATGTACTCACTCACTGTAATACTTCTTTTGTATGTACTCACTCACTGTAATACTACTTTTGTATGTACTCACTCACTGTAATACTACTTTTGTATGCACTCACTCACTCACTCACTGTAATACTTCTTTTGTATGTAAATAAAGCTAATTTTAACTGACCCCCGAGTCAAACCATGACTCTAAAAGAAAAGCAAAAACATTATTTTGATTCAGATCAAAAATGTATAATTTTTCCAGCCAAGGACAACTACATACATTACACATGAATACACATGTTGCAGAGTCTGAATCCACAATAAAACAACATACATTATTTATCATTGGGGTCACTGACTTACATTCACACTAATACTAACATATAGACCCTTTTCACATATTTGTGTTACCATTTGCTTCAGTAGCAAAAAAGCATTTCTGTAACTTAATTACAAAACATGATAAATATATAGAGAGATTGATTACAGCAGTCAGAAGAAAGAAATACTGTATGTCAAATTTGCCACCTCTTCCTCATGTGCAATTACACTGTAATTTAATGGCAAGGTAAAATAAAACAAAGTATAGTGTTATGTACATTTTGTACAAAGTACATTGTAATTTATAGAGAGAGAGAGAGAGAGAGAGAGAGAATATATTTAAAAATAATAATAAAAAAAAAAACATGGCTAGATTTTCAATGTTTATAAAATACAAGTCTGTGAAAAGGGTCCATTCAACAGTGTTTAGTGGATGTCTGTGCTTAAGGTTCAATTAATTAACATTATGTAATGTATTAGGTATCACGAACTAACAATAAACAATACTCACAGTGTTGATTAATGTTCTTCTACATATACTAATACATTTGTTATATATATAGTGAAAACTCAAAAAAACATTTAAAGTACAAACATTCATTGAATTAACCTTATTACAATATTGTATATTAATAAAAATATTTGTGAAACATTACTATTCATCCCAAGTACATGATAGCCTACATAATGAATTAACTAATGTTAACAAATTGAACCTTTTTGTAAAGTCTAACTTTAACAAACATCTGGAGTGTTTTTTTTTTTTTTGTATGTAGATATACAGAGTAATACGCTCACATGCATCTGACAAACAGAAATGCCACTAAAAAGAGTCTTGCTCCCAAAAGAGAGCTGCCTCATGGTGAGTGGCAGTGTGTTTTACACTGAAATATAATAACACGAAACACATTCTCTCTACAGCAATACAAAACATATCGGTAGAAGCTTGTTGTGGTCAAACACAAAGTCCAATTCAATTTATACTTAAATCATTCCAACAAAAAAAGTAAACGAAATTCAATCACCAATGAAAAACAAGACAACCAAGGCCCGATGGCATCTGAACAAGGAATATGTTACTGTAGGACAAGCCCCCCCCCCCCCCCCCC